CCGTGATCAAGTGCTTACATCGTGGACTTGTATTACATGCTGGGAAGAGAAATAGATGAAACTACCGAGGGTTTCTTAGGGTTTCAAGTTAATCGTAAAATAAGAACGATGATTCTCTTGGACGCCTTGACTTTCTTCCTGATCTTGTGGTTGAACCCCTAGTATCTCTATGAATATCTTCATCTTCCATTTCTGCTAACTCATTTAACATTTCTTCCCCAGTCTCCCTGGCAGTCAGTGGATCTCCATAGTCCAAGCACGGAACCATATAACAGAGGTTTTCTTCTTCATTAAATACGATAAGGTTGTCTTCAAGAGTAGAGGTGTGAGGTAGCAACGCGTGAGAGTAGCGCGAAACGGAAAAGCCGTGTGGTAGGGGGAGAGTTGTTCTCCGACAAGAACCGATATTGCTATTGTTAATATTGACAATATTTGATAGCAAAATGTAAAAAATCGCATTTGAAAGTTTTTTTTTTCACTATTTCCGCCTTCTTTGTAAATATCTCGTTTCCCCTTTATTTTCCTCCCAAATATCCCGTATCCCTAGAAATTTTTACCCAAATATCCCGCGCCGTATCCCGATAACCCTTTAAAGGGCCTCAAAGTGATTCAGACACAGACTGAACAATTCCTTGAACTGTTTAGCCGGACTTTGACTTTTTTTACGCGTTAAAGATGTGAAAATATCATTGTATATAATTTTTTCGATCGTTTTTTTTTAAGCGGTTGTCTTGATCGAACACACAATGTCACCTGCAGGGTTTGAATAAATTATTTTTGCACTTAATGCGCGCGCTTTGCTTCTGCATAATTATGGTAAACTATCTCGTATTTTTTCATGTACATTATTAATACGTAATCGCATGTTTTTTCTCGTGCAATTTGTAATAAAATAAGCGCTTGCAAATTTTTTTCAAAGACCACAAATTACACGAGCCCGTATGTTTGTTTGAAAAAAATTTACTCGTGGTCATTTATTCCAAATTGCAATCGAAATCATGTGATTACCAACACTAATGAAAAATGGAAGGAAATAACAATTCTAGCGATAACTTTCTTCAGATTGCATTGAAATTCTGTTAGACTCGCTGAGTTATGAAGAAGACTTGGGAAGACTTTTCTAAATTAAAAACAATTTTCGTTTACTGCTTCCATATTTATTGCCATACTCCTTTTAGTATATTTACTCTCAGATAAATCTCAGAGGGAGGGGGGGCTATACTTTTCATAAAGAAGTTGGGACGGGCAGCAGTTTAGGCACATTTAACAGCAGTTTTAACAGGTGGGTATTATGCAAAATAATCATCTTATGGTTGTATGTGACATGAATTTTAATAATTACTAAGCATTTAAGAGGAAATATGAGGAGATGGGGGGTCCTCATCTAAATATTTAATAAAGAAGGGGGTTCACTTGCTAATTACATAGCCCGGATTATGGGGGGGGGGCTAATATAGATTTTAATCCCTTCAACGTATTTTTCCCTTCCCCCTCTGTACATAAAAAATGACTGGTCCCCTAAATAGATGTGTGACGCTGATGTAACGTCTTGCAAAATCTATATTTAACAATCTATATATTAGTTACAAACCATCTTATGAAATTCCACAGTATTGATGTTTTCAGCCTGCAATTGTTTAGAGTTAGATGTTTCAATTGTATCATCATGCTCTGAATTCAGTTGATGTCTTTTCGCTCAGTTTAGTGAATTATTGACCCTTCCCTTGGAGCATTTCAATCAAGCAGGCATGAAGATCACATCTTTGATAGCTATTCCTACTTTTTCCTATCAAGTTGACAGTTCAACAATGAACTCAATCTTGTTGTTCTTAAATCTTCAAAAACATATTCACAAGGCTTTGTTGTTTCTATCTATACGAGCGAACGTTTGTCCCAAAGGAGAAATCAATCTGCATATGATATCCATATACATCTAGTGACAGCAAGTTCCTTGTTAACATCACTACAAATTAATGATTATTCTAAATTACAGTAACTTCATGTTTCTCGTGAAAACCTATGATATCCAGCTAAACCACAATCATTCATTTAGTTGATCATTGTCGGGTTTTGTCTCCGAGTCGGAAGAATCACTTTTATAGTCTTTATTAAAATCGAAGTAAGGAGCGTCCCTCGTCATCATTTCTTCCATTCTTGTTAGCAGCTGTTCAAATGATGGTCTCTCCTCGGGGTCTGCCTTCCAACAGTCTAACATCAACTCGTATCTGTGGTTATATAATGTATTCGGATATAAACAGAGGAATTACAACTATTAAGTGATAGTTATCGAACTCAGTTACTCTTTTCCCAAACAATCCCGACTAAAGTACAAGTAGGAAGTCATGTGGGCTTTAAAACAATTTGCACAGTAAAAGCGTTTTAATAGTTGTACCAAACACTTGTCCCGACAAGACAAATCAGTTCACTGAGAAACGGTACGTGTGAACGACATACTCCTCTCAAGAAATGATAAATT